AGAGAATAACATATAATTACGATATTTGACCTAGGCAGTACGCTGCTTTGATATACACAGCTTTCGCTGATCGAAGAAATTTACGAAGGAAGATTTCAGTTGACTTTTCGAGAAACATTGGCAGATTTTCTGTCGAACTGCACATTTTCTCAAGCGAATCTGACTGAGCGTGGTTGCCCACTGTCGATGATCGAACACTGGCGAGGTGGAGCGAGCCACGATCTTAGCATTCTGACGACTTTATCGATTTATTGTTCAATTTATGTAAGTGATTTATCATAAGATTTGCGGCTGTTAAGCTGCCTACACGAACTGCTCTCTGAACCTGTCAGAACTGCTTGGAATCTGCTCGAGATAGCATGAATTCTCAGGATATAAACATGAATATCTAGCAAAGTCCACAAATTCTAAGGATTATTCACAAACATTCTGACGAAGAATTCTCCATCTTAAACGTCTTTTCACCTGAACGACTGTTCAAACATAACATCAGTTATGTGTTGGTGCTGAATCGACCAGTCCTAACAGGCAGTTGTCCGATCGCTGTCATCACTAGTGATTGCTACAAAATTTGCGTTGAATCTGTGGAAGTAGGCAATTTCAGTTCGTATTAGTGGCAATATGTGTTTCTTTGGAAGTGCCTGCGGGTATTTTCGTGCCTTCATTCGTAATTGGTGCTTGTGGTGGACGTCTGATCGGTGAACTGATGGCGATTGCTTTCCCGGAAGGGCTTCGCGGTCCGGATGGTCCACAAATTTTTCCTGGCCTTTATGCAGTCGTTGGTAGGTGAAATTTTTGAGTTGGTGTGCCACCTCTCAATTAAAAATCAGTTGATGAACGCTGATATCATCTTTGTGCTGATTTATTGTGAGAAAGCTTTGAAGTTGGATTCGTCTGAATTAAGTTTTGTCTGTTTTGAGGAGCAGCCGCTTATACGGGTTCTGTAACGCATTCACTTTCAATCGCAGTTATTGTATGTGAAACCACTGGCCAATTGTGTGCTTTGTTACCTGTATTGGTATGTGCTTTTCTTTCTTCGATATTTTTCAAGATTAGATGCAAGCCAAATCATGGCTTGGCTCAGTCTCGCAACATCAATGGGATTGGTACACCACTCGGTTTCGAGCACAACCTTCGTCCACGGACACGAGAGTTTCGCTCGAAACTGAGTGGTGTACCAATACCATTCCTTCAGCACTATTAAATTTCCGTGTAGGTGATAATATGTTGTTGAACAACCGACCAAATACAAGAAATTCATTCGATGGTTTGGGATTCCATCATACATTCAGCAAATGAAGATGGCATTTTATCTGGATTACCTCGATTGGTCAAACCACCAAACGTTCATAACGTTACGGCCAAAAACCACCTCCATTCGATTCTCGATCCTACTTTCCTTTCCTGGATCTTTCCAGATTCTTGCTCTGCGTCCTACTTCCGTCTTTTTGGGGGTTCACTAGTCGTTTTTTGTTGCCTTAGGTGCCACTCAGCAACTGCACCAGACCATCTGTTAGTGTTCATTCTTGCCATGCGGCCTGCCCAGCTTAGCTTCTGCTTTCTATACGCTGTGATGACGTCCCTCAATTCAATTCATCGATGAACTTTCTCGAAGCAGACGTGCTCCTGCAGTGAAATTGCCAACATGCATCTTTGCATCATTCTTTGTGCTGTATCAGTCGTTGTCCTTCTTTTCCGTTCTGGTCCAATTTTTTTGGCTGGAGCAATGTGGGTAGAATGGTGCTTGGAAGACATGAGCGAAGAGTGATCTATTCGTTTTTGTCTCCGACACATCTTTCATCGATATGCTTTATTCCACTTTAGATGCTCAGTTTGGCCAAGCTTATTAAATGTCATTTCCGCAGCGAAAGTTTTGAAGCCAATAGAAGATAATCGAGAAATCAAAACTGAACCCAATATCAGATCAAATTGCAAGTATAATTCTGTATTTTAAATGATTTGAAGTTTTATCGAATTTGCAGATCGCCTTAATGATCGGTAATGCAATAAGCAGTTTTCTGCAACCATCAGTCTACGAGAGTATAATTCGTATCAAAAACTACCCTCACCTCGCTGATTTACCTCCTTCACGTGTGAGGTTAGCCTTCGATGATTGAGCACTTATGATGATTGAGTCGATCCGTAGCATGTGATCAAGCAATGGTCAGATGTTAGCAGAACAATGGAGAGAGGTGATAATAGCGTTGGTTGAGAAACACAGCACGATTTGATGGGAATGTCAGGTGTGGATGATGCACTCTATTTGCAGTGTTCATACGTTAAAAGTGGAACGTGTCATGATTCGTGACGTGATCTGTATAACAAGGGAAACGACATATAAGGAATTGAGAGATATACTCCTGTCAACGCCAAATCTGCGCTCTTATCCATTAGTCACTGACATGAGTACGTTCTCTTTGAATTTCATCGAACAAAAAATTATCAGAATTATCACTCCGGAAGGTCTTCAACCAGGATAGAGACTTGACGAGATCGTTACAAATGTGATGGGTTTGTAAGGGATCCGAAGAATGCTCGGGTTTTTGGTCAAAGTTTAGCCCACTGAATGAATTTGTTCTCGATATGAAATTTTATCCACCTAAGTGACAGTGCTGGCCACGAATCTACAAATTGCAAGAAACGACTGCAGAATGACGGTTACAGTTGAAGTGCATCAAATCTTCAGAGTCCAAGATTCTACTCGGTTCGGTGGCGCGAAAGTACCTAAACTATTTGCTACTACAACGACTCGGTCCAGATCCAACTTTGTTATGCAAAGAACGACGGCGCCTAAGAACGCCATCTGACTTGTTTGCTAGCACATTCAGACGATACAGTTCCAACTACAATACAGTCACGGGCACATTCCTTACCGATCGGAATATTAGTGGTAATACACTGCTGGCTAACAGTCCACTGCATGAAATCCAAAATGAACGTAAGTATTATATTATTTCCTTTTAATGGGTTCGATGGAATTCTATGAAGTGATCGTAATCAGATGCGACGAATGAACGTCCCATTCCGAAGAAGAACTTTTATCCATGACTAAAATGAATCCATCGACTGAATGATGGTTTTTGAGAACTTCATGGAATTGTGAATAGGGTAGCACAGTGGTTCTCACGTTCGG